AAAAAAAAAAAAAAAAAAAAAAAAAAACTTAGCAAAAGCAGAGGAAGGCCAGAGGAAAGTGATTCTTTGTCATGAAACAAGCAGGTTTTGGTTGTTTTATAACAGAGGGGAGCAAGAAAGAAACAGAGTAACCTTTAACAAGTATCTGAGTTCTTGAAACTTTTTTATTTTATTCTGGAGTTGAAAGTGTAGTGAAATTAAGAAGTGAACGAACAAGAGAGGGAAGATATTAGACTCACCTAATTTTATAAAACGAGAATTGAAGGTAGAGGTTTTTATCCAATTTGTGAATTGAATGAAAGATGGTGAAGTCCCTTTTTATAAGCAGTGTTCCATTTTTTGAAGAGAAGGTATGTTTCATATTTTAATTAGCAACTAATAAATTCTTAACCTAAAGCATTTCTCTCTCCCTCTCAACCTTTTTCATTATTTATTTGTTTTTTTTTCTTTAGTCTTAGAGAAATGAAAAGGACTAATTCTCTTACACAGTGTTAACATTTGGAGGTATCTTGATTAGGACTTTTTCCTTTTTCCTTTTTCCTAGCTAAATTGTTTGCAATGTTCAGTTTTCATATCTAATAGCTTTTATCTTTTTGTGGAGTATTGTTGGAATACAAGTTTTAAAATATAGTGGTAAACATAGTTTTGTTTTGTTTTGTCCTGGAGTTGTTGTTGATCCCCTCCCAAATTTTCATATCTCAAGCGAGTTATGGGTAGTTGTGTACGTTTAACTGAAATTCACAATATTTGACCCTAAAATAACTGAAACTCCGATTCTTAATATATATATATATATATATATATATATGTATGTGTGTGTGTGTGTTTTTAGCATTAAAAAATCTAGACAGATTTATTTATTTTTAAGAGTTGTGACTTACCAAGTTACCATGGCCATGGGCAGTGGGCCACTGCATATTTTTTACCTATGACTGCATACCTTGTTATGTAGGGCAATCTTATACTTTTTTGGCAATTTTATACTTGTTTATCTCGTTATTACTTTGTAAAACACACATAAAATCGCCAGTAGATAGATTTTTATCATATAAAATTATTCTTATTTTATTGGAAAATTCCATAAAAATATTCCAACTAAACTTTTCATTATTCAATTTAGTATCCTAACGAATTATTTTGATCATTTTGATCATTTTAATATTTTAAAATATAAAATGATGCATATTTTAATATCAAAATTTTGTTTATTTTAATTAATAAATTTGAAATAATATTTAAAAAATCTCTAAAATTTACAAAAATCTCAGAAAATTCTACTTTTGTTTTTTTGTTTTGTAAATAAAGTAATTAATCTGGGTATAATTTTGTAATAATTTCTTTAGTTTTAAATATTGAACTTAGTTAATTTTCTAAAACATAAAACTTATTTATATTTTCCTTCAAAATAAAATTTCTGAAATTTTAATATTACCTTCTTTCCTAAATATTAAAATAAAATTATTATTTACAAAAAAACGTAAATTTTGGAGATTCTTTCATTTTCATTAAATAAATAAACTTTGGGTATTAAAAGGACACAAATTTAAAAGTTTTTTTTATTAAAATAAACAAGATAATTAGTTGATGGATTAAACCGGCTAGAGAAAAAAATGGGGTATTAAAAAAGTTTAATGAAATTTAATTGGTGTATTTTTATAGAATTTTGTTTATTTTATTATGAATTATTAAAATAAAATAATAATAATCTAACCCACTTTATAAAAATTTATGACGTAAAAATTTACTAGGTGATTTTTCTGCACATGCGGATATAATTTTCTTACAAATACTTATTAAGTTATGTTTTGTTAATTAAAAATCACCATAATAAATATTATTTATGTTTTCAGTTATATAAAACTAAAAATTTTACTTGATTAATAATTAGTTATGTATTGTATTTTTTAATTTCAATTTTTTAAAAAAGTTCAGATAACAATACAATATATATAGGAATTAATTTTTAATTTAAAAATATTGTTTTAGATGTTGAATGATTTTTATTTTACATTTTGGATAATTCTTATTGTTATAGATTTTAATCATTTATCCAAGCAAATAAATGAAAATTCATTTTTATTTTATGGCTAATTCATATATTTTATTTATTAAGGATAAATAGATACTAACCATTATAACTTTTAACGTGAGAGCGTTGTTGCGAAAAATCACTTTGCAAATAATAGTGTAGATTAATTTATAAAATTGCATTATTTCGAGTCAATCCCTAGACATATATCTTTGTACATTCATCAATGATTTTTGTCAATATTTGTACTAGCCATATGCACTTAAAGTATAGTTAGATGTACATTATAATGATTTTGAAAATAATCTGTTTGTTGTAAAAAAGAGGAATAAGATTTTGATTTTAGTGCCGGATCCTACGGATACGGAACTTATATAGAGCCCTGCGCACCGCAATTTCAGCAACGGTATTAACTAATGCATCGCGCTCCCTATTAATATATTCTATTAGGTCATGAACCATCATCGCCTAGTAATTAAGTAACGATATTTCAATTTGTGTCAAACTGATGAAATCAACACTAAGGGAGAATTTTATCAATGAAAACGGGTATGTATTACTATTTAAACATACCATGCAAACTGCTTTAGTATTTGAACAGATATTCACTTTCGATTCTAAGTAGTGCTAGGAAATCCAGAGTATATTACAAAAATTGACCAGTTTTCTTAGATGCGAAATTAGGTTGGATTAGGTAAGTTTGTAACCTTCAGATTTTACTATTATATCAAGGGAAATATTTGAAATTTGTGACCAAAATTGTTCTTATAATAAAGCCGTTTGAAAACCATCGCTTCTTAGTAGTCCAAAAACCAATTGTAACTCTAAGTTGTAAAAGTGATTCACTTTGCAAAGTAGTATTTATAAATGGAACTGGTTTTTGTGTTTAAAAAAAATGGAACTAGTTCTCAATATTTTAATTGGCAATGCGTCGGTTTATGAGTAGGAATGGGCATAAATTCTATAATACGAAATCTGAACCTAAAAACTTGATACGTAGATGATCCTAACTGTAAAAATACTTTAATAAGTTTTGTAAAGTGTTACAAAACATATTTGAAATTAAAGTGTTATTAATCAGATATGGACAGAAAATTCGAAAACCTAAACTTAAAATCCAAAAAAAAATATTTGAAAAAACTGATTTGAATGTCTAAATTAGTATGCAATATAAATATTTGAAACATAAATATGTATTTCAAATATTCAATTCAATATTTTAATATATTTTAAAATAACTATATAAATTTAAATAAGTACTTTACCCAATTCTTTTGAAATAAATATAATAAATATTTTTTTTATGGTTTGCTTTTAAATTTTAAATTTTATTTTAGGTATATCCGAACGAACAGATATAATCTGAATAATATATGATTACTTTATGAATTTTAAATGTGATATACATTAGAACCAAAATCGATCCGACATGTACTTACAAATTTACTAGAATGAATTTATGATGTTGTACAAACTAAAACCAGAAATCTAAATATCCGACCCGAATATCAAAGTGTATCCAAACGCCAATACCTACTAACGAGTATGTAAGGATGTATGTTTTAGTTGCCAAAAGTTTGTTTACCGTCGATGATAATAAATAAGTATTTGATGTAATGAATTTCTCCAGATAATTATGGTAATAGCTTTTTAAATAAACAAATATTAACAGTTTCATTATTGCATTTGTTTTGAAATAGCATGCACAAGGCCTCTTGCAGTAGCTTCTAAGTTTATTTATCATGAAATCCATCAGTCGTTGTTACTATGCAACTTGAAATCATTTGATAGTGTGTAAGTTCTTTATATTTTTATTAATTACTGAATGGATACTTCACTAGAAGATTTTTTTTTTTGGATAAAAACTTTACTAGAAGATTTGGCAATGGAATACTTTCCTATAAACATTATAGATGTGTTAAAGGAGATTTGTAGTGGAAAGTCAATGACGGACTCTCTTTTTCAGTGACGGATAGTCGGATACTATTCTCAAAATTCACTGAATTATATCGAAATCATCCAAAATTATAGAAACATAATTTATTACAATTAGTTATGTGAATGACCAAAAATAAGATTCAAAAAGTGCATGACCAACATTTTTGGAAACCTTAAGAAATTTGAAAAAAAAAGAAAAGTTGTAGCATAGATTTTTGAGTTTTTAAATTTTAAAGTTCTAAGATACATAAAAACAAAACAAAAATAAACCAGAGACACAACTGGCTTATCAAAACTGGAAAATATTTGAAATCATAAACCGATTTGTCGAATACTAAATCATGTTATTTATGTTTTATATAATATAAATCAAATTAAAACTTATAAAGTAATTCAATTCCACACAATATCAAATTAATTGCATAGCAATAAATCAATGGTATCATAGACATTTCATTGTTGGCAATCATAATTTTAGTAAAATAATTTGTTTAACACAAAATTTCACAATTTAAAAATAATTGATATTTAACAAAACACTTATAATATATTTATTATTTATTAATAAAAGTTCTATAAACAAGGATAGAATTCTTAAAATATTGTTATTACTAATAAAATTCTTAATATTAAAAACTCAAGAAAATATGGTTTCTAAGCCTATATGTCCTAAACGGTTGTTTGAATGGCTTACATGCCCTTGTCAGAGGAGTTGATCACTCACAAAATATTATTGGTTTTATTTTAATAATTTTCAATTCTTAAAAAAAAAAACAAGTTAACTATTCATTTTATATGGTAAAACATTGCGAAATCTGAAATTGTATGAGAATGAAGTAGTAATTTGTGTTATTTCATTAGGAAGGCAATAGCCTCTTATTTATACAGCAAGTAGATCCAAAGTAGATAAGGACTAGGAACTAAATACATCATTATCTAAGTTTATGTAGTAGTTATCTCCTTATCTCCAATACTCCCCCTCAAGTTGGAAGTGTAAGGTTACGAACAGCCAACTTGGAGAGAATACTCTCAAACTGAGGACGCGGAAGAGGCTTAGTAAGTATGTCAGCTAGCTGATTCTTCGACGTAACATGTTCTGTAGTAATGAGCTTGTCCTTAAGAGCATCGCGAACATGATGACAATCCCTTTCCACATGCTTGGTACGTTCATGAAACACAGGATTCGCGGCAATGTGTAGAGCGGACTTACTGTCACAGTAAAGTTTCATTGGAACCGATGGTGGAATACCAAAAGAGACAAAGAGGTTCTTCAACCACTTCAGCTCTTTAACAGCGACGGACATGGCGCGGTATTCGGATTCGGCTGAGGAGAGAGAAACGGTATCTTGTTTCTTAGTTTGC